GAGGTGGCGTTGTGCCTGGAGGTGGTGTTGTGCCTGGAGGTGGCGTCATCCCTGGGGGCAGACTTCCTGGTGCAGGTCTGTTCTTCCTTGAGTACAGGTTGTCCTCAACTTATAGCAATAGCATTTTGACTTATATACCTCTTCAGAGTGCTTTACTACCCTCTCTAAGAGGTTTAGAGAGTCAGCATATTGCCCCCAACATCCTGGGTCCTCATTTTACCAACCCTGAAAGTATGGAAGGCTGAGTCAACCTCGAGCCAGTCCAAATCAAACTGGTGGCAGTCGACAGAATTAGCCTGCAATATTGCATTCTAACCACTGCACCACCATGGTTCTGACCACAATTGGAGTTAGAATTTCAGTGATGCAGTTATTCAGTGAGTCATCATGTGACCAAACCTAAATTTAGGACCATTTTTATCATGGTTGTTAAATGAAGGACAAGGTCATTAAGCAAATGACAAGGTTTTTAAACCAATTTGGCTTCCCCAATTGACTCTGCTTGTCAGAAACTGGTTGAAAAGTTTACAGCAGGATCGTGTGATTGCAAGACTGCAACCATTGTAAATTAGAGTCAGTTGCCACATATCCAAGTTGTAATTATATGAATGCAGGGCTAGTGGGAAAGTCATAATTTTGAGAATGGGTTGTAAGTAACATTATCTTAGACGGTTCCAACTTTGAATCGTTGTTAAAAAATGGTTATAAATCAAGGACTACCTGTAATCCTCCGATTTTCCCGAGACAGGAGTAATTTCCTAGACATAGAGAATCAGCCCTGCTCACAATTTCCCATTTTGACAGGCAAAAATTATCTCTGGCAATGGGTTTCTGATGGGAATTATTTCCTCTTCTCTCACAGGCATTCCCATAATTGGAGGACAAGGAGGAGGCAAACCACCTAAATACGGTATCTCTGCAGAATTTTTTTAAAAAATGCTTGTAATTCATCACGTTAACTCCTCGAAATAGGTATAGACCGATATGACTATGGAAGGAAGAAAAAAATGAAAGAGAGAGAAAGAGTGTTCTGACCAAGGCTTCCTGAGACAGTAACAATCACACGCTGTTCCCCAAAACCTTTTGTTTGATTTCAACCACTGTTAAAATAAAATTCACAGCCCATAATGAGTCCCAAACAGTTTATGAATAGTCCAACAGAAGTCTGCCACAGTCTTTTGGGAGAATTGCTGATAAGCACCTACCTTCACCTGCCTTGAAATACTACCAACGTCTAATTGCCAATTAGCTGTACAAGGCCAAACAGAGCACAAAGTCAACATGGAGCTTCAGATTTTAAACCGACCAGAATGGTTCATGTCTCTTTGCTCCTCCTTTATGTCTTATGGGAGGTGCCAATCATCTCCAAGCCTTACTCCCAAGTCGCCCCTTTTGTCTTAACTGTTCTGGCAGCTTCTGGCAGCTCTGCGCACACTGGTTCCCCCTATTCCTCTGCCTCACTGATGTCAGATTCTGGAGGCCCCAGAATCCGCACATAACTCTCAGGTGGCCCTGGCTCCATCTCTGTGTTGGATGCACATCCCTCGTCCAAGTCTTCCCCAGACTCCAGGACTCACCCATGTTCCTCCCCACTGTCCAATTCTGCTGCCAGCTCTACAGGCCGCCAGTGGACCACAACAAAAAGAGAGAATGAGAGGGAGAGTACAAAATGAATCATCCCAGAGAAACAACCATTTGGGAGTGAGTGGCACATTTAACTACGAGAAGGCCAAGGAGCACAAAGGGCGAAAGGATGATGCAAAATAATTATTTTTTGTTTTGCTGTTACTTAGAACTAGATTAGAATAAAGTAATTTTTGGCTTATGCAATTTCTGCATACATTAACTGCATGGGGCTGATCCAAAATGGCACTTCTTATCCACTGACATATTCACCTGATACAGGCCCCACTGAAACAAATGGAAGCCACACCAGAGAACCCCTTCTGTTCCTGCCCAGCTTTTTGTTTTCTTATGTATCTGGAGGCAATTCTCATGACTCAAAAGGCCAAAGGCTTTACCTTCCCAAATAGTTGTTCTCCAATTTCTTGTACTGTCTCAGAATGACCATTAGGGCAGATTTTCTCATCGTTAAGCTGAATGGACTTCAACTCCCAGAATTCCCTGGCCAAGGCTCCCAGAGAATTCTGGGAGCTGAAGTCCACACAGTTTAAATTTCCAAGGTTAAGAAAAACTGCATTAGGGAAAGCAAACTGGACAAAACATCTCCTTGAGTGGAAAAATAAAATGGGAAAGTGGATGTAGAGGGAAGCTTCCAGTCTGCAGGGAGAGAAAAGAACTGCTATAGATTCACCATTGAAACTTGCTCCCTGTCTTTGACAGGTGTCCCAGGTACTGGCTTGGGTGGAACTGGTGTGGCAGGTAAGTTCAGAGTATGGAACTGCTGGAGCTGAGCTAGGTATATGGCTCCGTCTTTAGCTATAGGGGCTGGGCCTGGATTCTTCCTGACCGTGTTTCCTTTTCTCACACTCCAGAATATGCAGAGTTGTCTTGATATGTGAAAAGGATGCAACACGGTGATGTTTGGCAGGGTGTGATGAATGAAAGCACTTAGGCTCTATCACAGGGGTGTGAAACTCGCGTCGTCATGGTGGCATCACGTGACTATCAGAACTCTTTTCCCCTTTGCTAAACCAGGTGTGGGCGTGGCCAGCGCATGACACATCTGGCCCATGGGCTGCGAGTTTCACAACCCTGCTCTATCAGGTTCTGTTGTTATAAACTTGAAGAATGCTTTCTAGGCCCAGCTGAGCTGTCTGCCAGCTGATCTGCAAGGCCCAGTGTTATTCCCCAGGTTATTCCCCAAACTCTATCCTGGAAGTCTGTTCTTTAATTGGAGGAACCGATTCCCAAAGTAGAGGCAGAGCCAAATGTCTTGCTTTGGTACTTAAATGATCATCTTGAGCAGGGGTGGGATTCAACCAGTGTTACTACCAGTTCGGTGACTATGTTTTGCTGCGCACGCGTGTAAAAAAAACCTTAAGCTGTGCCGCCCAAACAGCTGAAAAGCGCTGCATGCAGGTGCGCAGCATTTGAAAAGCCACTTTTTTCCTGCTTCTTCAACCTCAGCTGTGCCGCGCAAAGCAGCTGAGGTTGAAAAAGCAGGAAATAAAGGACCGGTAGGAGCCCAGGCGGGCGGGTGGGCCAAACAGCATCAAACACAGAACCGGTTCAGTGTCTGCTGCTCTTCAGAGCTACCGGTTCTTTAGAACCAGGCAGTACCGGTAGCATCCCACCCCTGATCTTGAGTATTGATCACCTCCCTGACCTTGACTTCATCATTTCCCATTATTTGCAACATTTCTGTTTTGCACCATTAAGTTAACTATTGTTTCTTAGACTGCCCTGTAGCTCTTCTCAGATCATCTAGAATGGATCACCAAATCGATCCCATAGAACAGTGGGCCCAGTACTCTGCTATCTAAATTAGGATTAGCCAAGGCCAAAAGAGGCCTCTCTTAAGACACGCTTGCACTGCAGACTGGGTTTTAGGATGTTCAAAACTAGCAACAAGTGGGTAGGCCACATTCAGGATTTCTATAAGGCTTTGATAATTATCAGTTCACTTTTTTCAGTGCCGTTGTAACTTTGAACAGTCACTAATGAACTGTTGTAAGGCTAGGACTAGCTGTACTGACCTGAGAAGGCCTAACCTGGAACTCTTTGATATTTTGGACTACAACATTCCCATGTCTTTGTCATTGGCTTTGCTGGAAGAAATACATGGGAATTTAAATCCAAATCATCTGAAGGGTCAGGAAAATTTATGCCTTTTATAATATTTGTATTGTAGTCCTTTGTGGGCTTCTTCAATTCATATTAATCTTAAAAAATTTACATTCAGTTCTGGATTAATTCACCAAGATTTAAACTGAGTGTTTGGCAATTCTTCATATAGCTTAAATTCACAATCCCTTTTTACACACACACACAAAATAGCATCAATTCTCTGCAATCCTTCCTGGTTAGATGCAAGTGCAGTCAGTCCGAAAGACAAATATTCCATATTGCATTTCAACTAGATATATGGTTTGATTCTGATGGAGGTTTTCTTTTTTTCCTGCTTTTTTTTTTTGGAGGAGGAGGAGGATACGGAGTCCCTGGACTGGGCGTGCCTGGTTACGGAGCTGGTGCCGGAGCTGGAGGTCTGATCCCCAGTGGGCAAAGATGCATCTGATGGGATGCAGCGGGAGGGCAATTCAGGGTGGGAATTGTGGCCACATCTGCGTCATCCTGAAACTCAGTCGAATCCTTTCAAAATTGGAAATGTGAGGATGCACCTGTTCCAACTTGGTCCATCATTATAAATTAATTCATTAATTAATAATTTGTAGAAATATTCTATATCAGTGTTTCTCAACCTTAACAATTTTAAGATGCGCGGACTTCAACCCCAAGAATTCCCCAGCTAGCATGCCCTATATTTTAAACACTGCTATCAATTTTAGGGTCATTGTAAGCTTAGATCTATCCTTGACTGATCTTAAACTTTGCTCCTTGTAATGCAAAATAGAAAAATATTAGTTCGGGATGTAGGAAGGAAATCTGAATGACCATTAAGGGCTATAATTTTTCCCCCTTCATAATACCTTAACCCTCATGCACCCGTACAAACCAATTCAAAGGTTTTTTTTAAAAAAAAGTCCAGTTCTTCATGATTATATCCTTGCAGTTTTTTTAGTGTGATAAAATGGTTTTGCCACTGCCTTGTCTAGAGTTGCTTTTAAAAAAAAAATCCGGTCAAGTGAATAAATGTGGTATTAATAAGAAATTGCCATCCACATGCTGACCAGTTTTCTAAGATCAGCCAAGTCATAACTGGTTTTCAGCCAGCTAAAATAATTGGAGCAATACTATTAAGCAAATGAGGAAAGTATCTTTCTCCCTATCACCTTTCAGCCATAATCCACTCATAGGTAGAGCTCACCTCTGCCTCCAGCCTCAAGTGACAATATCTTTATTTATTTAACCTATTTCTATGACGCTACAATCCTAGGAGACTCTAGGAGGCTTAAATAGAACACATTCAGATTACAGACATCCAGGATAGAATAAAACAACTACAAACACAATAAAACTAAATACCAGAATAAGAGTTGGAAGGGATCTTGGAGGTGTTATAATCCAACCCCCTGCTCAAATTGGAGACTTTATACCAGTTGTTCCACTGATTAATCGTTTGAAATGTCAGGAAATTTCTCCTTATTTCTAGGTCATTCCCTCCTTGATTAATTTCTGTCCAATGCTTCTTGTTCTACTTCCAGCTGTTTTGGAGAATAAGCTGACCCCCTCTGCCTTGTGGCAACCCTTGAGATAATGGAACACTGTTGTCATGTTAATCACAGTCTTTTCCCCCCATTAAACTTGACATACCCAATTCCTTCATATGTTTTATCCTCCAAATAGCATAAATAGAAATAAAGATGGCAAAGTTTACATCAAGGGAAAGTTTTCTGAAACAATTCAGTTTTTAAAAGTTTCCAAAAGACCAATATACATAGAGCCAATCCACAAGGCTGGGACTGCCACAAAGAAGCAGCACTGCCTGCCTCTCCTATCTTCTCTCTCTGTCCCTCTCCCTCCCTCCCTCCCTCTCTCTCTCTCTCTCTCTCTGTCTCTCTCTCCCTCCCTCCCTCCCTCCTTCCTTCCCCCACCTTCCTCTCTCATACACACACACACAAAAGTCTCCTGAAAATGGGAGATCTGATTGGATGGGTCAATTCTGATGGGAGAAGGGGGTCCTTGAGGTACCCAGGCACCAAGCCGTAAAGGGATTTATAGGTCGCATTTTAAATTGGACCTGGAAACCAACTGGCAATCAATGCAAGGTCAGCAAAACCATTTGCTCCCAGTACTGAGAGTTTAAAAGGATTTGGACAACTGCGTTTTGGACCAGTTGTAGTTTCTGAATGCTCTCCAAAAACAGCCCCAAATAAAATACCTTATGGTAGTTAAACCAAATGGCCATGCGGGGAATGATTCTCCTTTCTCTCATTCTGTTGCCCAAGATTGCAGTATCCAGGGTGTAAACTCCTGAACCAGACAATAAGAAAATAGGGCTTCTACCAACAGGGGAGGAGGCATGGGGTACAGAAGAGAAAGGAGGGTCAGAGTTCAAGTGACTCCCAAATCTCCAAACAACAGAAAATGAAATATCCTCATAAATGACTTTCTTCTCATAGAAGTTGTCCATGTTCAAAGTTCACAAAAGATGTGAGGTTTTGCAAGAATAGCTCATTTTTATTTATCCTCACCCTACACTTCTATAACTGGATAAATCATTCTACTAGGCATGGATAGTTGGAAATGTACTTATTTTAAGTCAGCATTTCTCAACCTTAGCCACTTCAGAATGGGTAGACTTCAGTTCCCAGAATTCCCCAGTCAGGCAGGAATTCTGGCAGTTAAAGTCCACTCATCTTAAAACATGGTGGCTGGAGAATTCTGGGAGCCGAAGCCCACCCATCTTAAAGATTGCTGGCTGGGGGATTCTGGGAGTGGAAGTCCACCCATCTTAAAATTGTCACAGTTGAGAAACATTAAAGTTAATTTATTATTTCTGTGGATTCCAGTGCTGGTATTCTAATTGCTGTTGAGTCAAGAAAGGAAAAATACCATTCTTTCCTATTATTGAGCAAATTATTGAGTCTTTCCTTCCTACCAACTCTCAGCCATGGAGATAAAAAGACTGAGCCTCTTCAGAAACCCTGCAAACTCTTCCCACATTTGTTCCAACACAGTGGATTATCTTGTGTATTGTTTCCTTAAGGGCCAGCAAATTCCTGCACTTCTCTCTCTTTTTTCCTTTTAACTAGAAGGAGAAAAAAATATCCAAGTTTATATAAAATAATATGCCAGAGAGTGGAGAGAATAGTGAAACGGAACTCAAGAGTCAATGTTTTACCGAAAGATAGCATGTTAGATAGTGGGATCCGAAGCTTTGACAGGCCCACAGCTGCACTTGCATGATGTTGAGTGGGCTGGAAAAACTCCACAAAGATGACAGGGGGCACACTGGCTGGGTTTGCATGTGCTCATCTATAGCTTATCTTAACCACAATTTATTCAGCTAATCCAAGCTTTTGGAATCACACTAAACAACTGTAGCCTAAACTAACCCCATGGAAGGATAAAACCAGCCTACAAAGCTGAAACGCAGTCAGTCATAGCTTTCTGTAGGTTGTTAGAATACTGCTTTTGGTATTCTAACTGCAAAGGTCCTCTTTACACATGTGCATAATCATTGGCTGCCTCAGTCCTCCAATACTTCATTTAACTGTGTGGATCAAGTGTCCTCTGTGCTTGTCCTCTCAAAGTCTTTTTATGCTTTCTCCCAACCGTTCCCCTCTATTGCAGCAACTGGCACTGGCTTTGGATTATCTCCTATTTACCCAGGTATGTTGTCCAGGGAAAGCCTCAAGTCCTGGCAGACCCAATTGCAGGAAGGGGCTCTGGGCTGAATAATCTTTGTCTGGCCAGAGTAGCAAGCCTGTGTCCTGAAGGCAACAATTACTCAATGATGGTTTTCACCCAGTGTGTGTACTACTTCAATCTCATTATCTTTTGCTATTAACAGAGCAGTGCCCCTTCAAAATGCTTCCAGGAGTTATTAATAGAGAAAATAGACTGGCCCAGTCGATATAACACTCAAAGCATAATGGCCAGGTTTCTCGTAATCTATTAAACCTGGGTTAATGAAACAACTACTGTATTCATATCATGTTCTCTTAAACCCATGGCTAGTTCATCCCAGAGAATTGGCTACATCCCCTCAATTCATAGGGCCAGAAACTACTTCATTTTCATTGAGCACATGTTGCAATTTCTCCTTTTTTTTTTCTTGCTGTATGAACCAGCCATTTGCTTTTTCACACCATGGTTCAGCAAATGATGGCTTACTGCAATGCATGAATCCAGCCACTGACAAAGAAGTGTCTTAGATGGGCCCATTTCTCTGAGCAATTCTTAGCATAGTGGGAAAGGGGTGTGTGTGACTAAAAGGGGCAATGCTAACAAGATTTTCTCTCTCATTTAGGATTCACAGGTGGAGGTGTACCTGGCTATGGAGGTAAGAGCAGTACTTTAGGGGGAGGAAGGGGAGCAAAGGATTGTCCACAAGTTAACTGGTTATCCAGCTTTGAATGACCCTCCCTCTTTTTTTCTCTCTCTACACACAGGTAAACCTCCCAAGCCCTATGGAGGCCTGGGGGCACTCGGCTACAAAAGTAAGTGGCACCATAGTTTGGAAAGATAACTTGACTGAGAGCTACTGCTTCTTTTTATTTCCAAAACTGCCATGCTCAGAGATAGTCTGCCTCCAACAATTTGACCCTGAGTTGAAAGAAGAAGACTAATACTCAACATGCCCTTGACAGAATCTCCCAGTCAGAAACAAGATGTCAGGGCAGCTGATTGGCTGATCTGATTCTCGCAGGACGGATTTGGTGCTCCTGTCCAGTTAGCTGGAGAACGCCTGACCACCACCTGCAGCCTGTTCCCAAAACAGTAATGGTCATCTGAATCAGTGAAGGAAGTTGTTGGGGATCCTCAGTAGAGGTCCAGGAGTAGCTGGTGGGAGTTTGACCCTGCTTAGTTTCCAAGCCCAGAACAGATTCTACCAGGTACTATTCCATGACATAAAAGCTGTCTACTACAGGTTTCAATACCAAAATCTGAAACCCAAACTTCCTCTTTGTACCTAGTGGTTTTGCTATTTAAATTCCAGAATCATCAGTTAACTAAATCGCCTGGGTTGGGTTTGTACAAATCACACTAACCTACCTACACAACCAAGGACATTGATGTTATTAAAGCTGGATGCATGAAGTTCTTGGTGCTCTTAGCTTGGTCGGTTGCTTGGTTATGGCACTGATGAAGCTACTTAGTTGGGTAAGGAAATACCTGAAAACAAATAACCAAGTTCAGAGAGCACCAAGAATGCCACAGTTCAGCCTTGAGCTACAGATAATTTTTCTTCTATTGGAAGTCGAACGTGTCCAAATAAAAGAGCAAGGCCTTCAACAAACCCGGTTAAGAATGTTGCATCCACCCAAGCCGAGGTCAGAATCCCCAGGCCTGTTTCTGGATTGGCAAGTCTCCTTGGTCCCTATCAGCCACCTGCTGGACGGTTTGGTCATTCTGTCTTTCTCTCTCTCTCTCTTCTGATTTCAGGAGGAGTCGGCCGGAAGAGGAAGTAGCCCAGACCGACAGCCTACCATTCACCTCATGAACTTTGGTGCTACTGCCTGGTCTCGAATGTACCCTCACCCCAGCCCACCCCTGAGAAAAGCAGAGATTCCACCACCGCCGCTGCCAACACAGCCCCATGCCTTGCCACCCCCCCCCCGGCTGGCCCCCCTCCCTCTCACTGGTGCTACAACCATCCCACAGGGAGCGTCCCTGCCTTCAGCTCCCTGGGGCCCTTTGGTGCTGCAGCCTAGGAGGGCTGCTTTCAGAGGGGGCGGCCTGAGCACTTTAAACCCACTCCTGAGCCCTGCCCCCACAAGCGGGAGGGGGGGCCAGGAGCCGTCGGCCAGCTGGCCCTGCTTCTTCCCTGGTCTCTCTCTGGATCTAAGTGTGGGGGGGGAGGACACCCCTTGTTTTGCCGTGAGCCCCATGCCAGGCCATCCTTCCCTTCCCCCTGAACACACTGCCTCTGTTTGGAGGGGAGCAGTTCAGGCCAAGCTGTCAGTGCCAATGGGATTAGCCTTAATCCTGGAGCTTCTGCTGGCTGCCAGGCTCGGGTGGATTAGCACGGCCAGGCCACAGCATCCGTACCATCCCTAACGTGGACGCCGGCATGACATCGTCCAGCTCCCAATGAACGGGCTGGCCAGGGACCCCTGTACATGACCAGCCAACCTGCTCCACATCTTCCATGTTTAATCACTTCGATGTAACTGGGATGGGACACTTTTTATAAAGAAGAACAATAACTGCTTTCCAAAAAAAATAAAATAAATAAAACCTGACTAATAAATAATGTTTTAAAGGTAATCTCTCTCTCTCGTTGCTATTTTCAGTAAAGATATAGTAGTCCTTGACTTACATCCATTTGTCCAGGGACTGTTCAAAGTTACAACAGCACCCAAAAAAGCTACTTACAACCGGTCCTCTCACACTTGCAACCATAGCAGCATCTCCAGGGTCACGTGATCCAAATTGGGGTGCTGGACAACCTGCAGGTATTTACGAGGGTTGCAGCAGCCAACAGGTGGTTGCTGTGACTGCTATCTGCAGTCTTTCTAGCCAGCTTCCAACAAGCAAAGTCAATGGGGGAAGTTGGGCTCACTTAGTAACTGTGGCAAAAAAATGGTAGTAAAATCAGGGATTAACCAACACCTTGCTTAGCAATGGAAATTGGCCTCTGTGGTGGTGATCATATGGACTATCTGTATATTTTTCAACTGACTGACCTGATCAGATCTGGATCAAGTTTCCCAGGAGCCTCGATAGCAGGATAGCAATAGCACTTAGACTTATATACTGCTTCATAGTGCTTTCAGCCCCCTCAAAGTGGTTTACAGGTTTACTATTGTCCCCAACAATCTGGCTCCTCATTTTATCCACCTCGGAAGGATGGAAGGCTGAGTCAACCTTGAGCCTGGTGGGATTTGAACTGCCAAATTGCAGTAGGAGTAGCTTGCAGTACTGCACTCTAACCACTGTGCCACCGAGGCTCCTTGGGTGCAGTTGCTCCAGCAACTCTCAGGCTATGTTTTGTCCTTGGTCTTAAACAAAGCAAAAACCACCCATCTAATATTTATCATTTATAGTGGCTGATTTTATTTGATAATTCACATTCAAGAGTGTACGGTAGCTGGTTGTTGGAAGAAATCATTAGGGCAGAAAAGCGATTGTTAAATTATTTGTATCCCACCACTGGGACTTGCAATGGTCGCTAAGTGTGAAAAACGGTCTTAAGTTGCTTTTTTCACTGCCATTGTAACTTCAAACGGTCACTAAACAAACCGTTATAAGTTGTGGACTACCTGTATCTGAATACTTCTTATTAGAGTAAATTACTCTACATGTGTTAGAGCATGTTTAGCCGATTATCGAACAATGCATGTTCTGGGTTAGCAGAATGTACTGTGCCAAAACCTAACCAAAGAGACAGGATATAACAGAGCATTTTTTTGGCTCAGGTGTTGGGGCCAGAATGAGTTCATGCCTGCAGGATCATGATAAATGTCATTCCTTAATCACTATCAATGGTTGTATGCCAATTTTAACTGAAATTATTTCATTTTTGTATCTTGTTTATTGTACACCACCCCAGAATTGCGGTGTTCAAGTGTGGGGAGGCATATACATTTCTCAAATGAATAAATGTTAACATACATGCACACACTGAGCAAATATAGTCATTGTGTTTCCAGTAATCTTTCTTTTAATACAAATCCAGCCACGGCGGTGTCTCATGCCTGTCTTATCTTTGAACAAAGATTTTAAAAATAGCACAGATAAAGTACACATGTGAAGTGAAGGTGTTTATAATGACTAAGAGGCATTATAAGTAATTGGAACCACATGTTTTAGGGTAGCATATCTGATGGTGGGAACTGATAAGGTTTTTTTTGTCTTGTGGACTTTCTGGCTGGCCATGATTGGGAAGTACAGTAGAATGCTGGATTAGATAAGAATAAGACATGGTAAAAATGTATCAGGCTATCAAATGGATCCTCTATATATGAAGAGGCAGTATATAAAAATCGTGCTAAAGAAGAACCTTTCGAAATAAAACTTCAGACTAGCAGAATATTTAGAGCAATTGGGAATAGCACAGGCAGCAAGAGAGTGAAAGAAGACACTGCCAGTAAGAGAGGCATTCTGTCACAGTTGAGGAGGAGTTAATATATAACATGAGATGGAACAATCTATAGTTCATATCAGGGGCCCCCAAACTGGGTAACTTTAAGACTTGTGGATTTCAATTCCCAGAATTCCCCAGCCAGCATGGCTAGCTAGGGAATTCTGGGAGTTGAAGTCCACAAGTCTTAAAGTTGCCGAGTTTGGAGATCCCTGGTTTATATCATGAAAAAGAAAATAAACAGGTAGTCCTCGACTTACAACAGTTCACTTAGTGACTGTTCAGCGTTACAAAGGCACTGAAAAAAAAAGTGACTTCTGACTGTTTTTCACACTTACAACCCTTGCAGCATGTGATTAAAATTCAGATGCTTGGCAACCGGTTCATACTTATGACCTTTCCTGTTGACTCCAAGGTCATGGGATCCCCTTTTGTGACCTTCTGAGAAGCAAAGTCAATGGGGAAGCTGGATCCACTTAACAACCGGGTGACTAACTTGCCAATGGCAGTGGATTCAGTTAACAATGGTGGCAAGGAAGGTTGTAAAACGGGGCAAAGCTCAATTTAACGAATGTCTCACTTAACAACAGAAATGTTGGGCTCAATTGAGGTTGTAAGTTGAGGACTACCTGTACTTCTCTGCAAAAAAACTGTCTAGAAGAAAATTGCACTTAAATGCGTTAGGAGTCTGGTCATTTCCATGTCATTTCCTTTTCCAACTTAACCAAAAAGTGGTACATGAAAGGCATAGACTTTTGTAAGTTGCAGCTCACATCACTTATCGAATATCTGTGTCTTTTTGATGTCAGCAGTTATTAAGTTAAGGGGCCTCTGGTGCAGTGGTTAGAGTGGAGTATTGCAAGCTACTTCTGCTGCAACCAGCTGCCTACAATTTGGCAGTTCAAATCCCACCAGGCTCAAGGTTGACTCAGCCTTCCATCCTTCTGAAGTGGGTAAAATGAGGACCCGGGTTGTTGGGGGAAATAGGCTGACTCTGTAAACCGCTTAGAGAGGGCTGGAAAGCACTGGAAAGCAGTATATAAGCCTAAGTGCTATTGCTATTACACAAGTCACCCCAATCCACGTTGTACAACTGAGCAACCAGCATACTTTCAACTTACCACAATTTGATTAGCAACCATTCAAAGTGACGCAGGCACTGAAAAATGTGATTTGTACATGGTTCTTGCACTTATGACCACTGTAGTATCCCCACAGTCCCATGATCAAAATTTGGTAACCGGCATTTATTTTTGACAGCTGCAGAATTTACAACCTCCCCAGCCACGCTTCTGACGTGTAAAGTCAATGGGGGAAAGCCAGATTTACTTAATGACTACATAATACACCCGGCAACTGCAGAGGTTCACTTAACAACCATGGCCAAAAAAAAAAGGTCACAAAATTGGGTGCCACTCACATAACAAGAACCTTGCTTAACAACAGGTTCCAATTGTAGCCATAAGTTGAGTACTACCTGTACACAAGAAGGAAGAATCCATGCCACATCGGGTACAGAAAAGAATGTTTTTTTCTATTCCCAGATAAAGGAATTGTGAGTTGCTATATCGAGTATCGATTTCATTCTTCAGGGTTGTTTGACCTCAGAGGGCCGGGGGCATGGCCGGAAGAGGGGTGTGGCCATGGTGGGCATGACATGGGACTCATGTCGGGGGCACCTGTGGTGGCCAAGTGCTCAGGCAGGACCTCCCTGAGACCCTCACTCACTCTCATTTTCCTTCCTTCCTTCCTTCCCTTCCTTCCCACCACTTCCGAGGGCAAGCTGTTCCCTTGGTCGATTGTTCTCACTGTCAGAAAGTTTCTCCTTATTTCCAGGTTAAATCTCTCCTTGTTCAGTTTCCATCCATTATTCCTTGTGTTCTGTCTTTAATTACTGACTGAATATAAAGACAGGCCAAACTCTACAAAGGCTTCCATACAAAGTTTCTTTATTGGGTCACAAGGCCTTCTCAAGGTATAACTCACAGTTATGTTGAGATTCATCTTAATGTCCAAATCTTTGCATAGCTGACTTCATAGTGTAAAAGCATAGTGATGTTTCATCCCATAACAATGGAGCAAAGGGGTGAGACACCAGCACGCTGCTGGGGTCCAAGCAGGAGTAAAGGAAACTCCCCCAATCCAACCAAGGGTCAATTCAGTGACCAATCAGGATTACAGATGTGACCACATGACATGAACTACATTTCCCATGATGCATTAACTACATTTACCATGAGGCATTTCCTTAATGGGACAGCTCCCAATTCTAACTTAACTATCTCAATTCCCAATTACCTATATACTATCTGGACAGCATACCTTGTCTGGTCTACAGGCGCTTTAGAAAATAGCTTGACCCCCTTCCTCTCTGTGGCAGCCCCTCAAATATTGGAAGACCGCTATCATGTCTCCCCTGGTCCTTCTCTTCACTAGACTAGCCAAGCCCAGTTCCTGTAACCCTTCACCATGTTTTAGCCTCCATTCCCCTAATCAACCTTCCTTCCTTCCT